TAATAATAATAATAATAATAATAATAATAATAATATAACCTGAGAAAGCATCTCTCTAAGAATCTTTACATCATTCAACACAAATCTGTGGTCAACATCCGTGAGACATTGGCCACTGAATTGTCCCAGAGGACCTACAAAAGCCTAGAGAAGTGTTCTTTCAAGGTACTCCTGGCAGATATTGACCACAGAGTTGTGTTGGAGGACCTAGAGTTTCCTAAAGATAACATATTAATCCATGAATAACCAAATCCACAAAAGTCAAAGCCCCAAATGTGGAGGGATGACTGTATTTTGAACTGCACATCCCAGAATCCCCCAGCCAGCAGACTGCAAGAGAGGTTGCTTTTCCAAGCCATGATAACTGGGCTATGTGGACAAACATATAGCCGCTTCCCACGGTCCCTGGGCTAAATCCATCTTAGTCCCCATAAGAGTAGGCCCACAGAAATGAATGGGATAAAATACCATTTACATAAACTGGTTTCAATAGGCCTACACTCATAGGACCAAGAATTGAATTTAGCTTCCTACAACCTAATGAAAAAGTTCTACCAAGTCCAGTTCTAACTCCAAATAAAGTGTATATTAGTAGCGGCCTCAAAAGGTAACATGGCTTGTGCCTCAAAGTGTGACATGCCCCAGGTCAACCAGTGGGTTTCCATGGCTGAGCAGAGATTCGAACCCTGGTCTCCAAAGTCATAGTCCTATGCTCAAAACACTCCATTTCAAAAGGGCAGGGGAGGTGGTCTAAATACCCACAAAGAAAGAAAGAGTCCAGCCACCAGGGCTTGCATGGAGAACTGGGTTTTTCCCCCAGAGTGTGAACTCCTAATTCATGGGCCACTTACAGAAGCAAGCTTTTCTGCTCCTCTCTTTAGCCCTTGGCCTGAGACTTCTTGTACTTCTTTCCTTCCTGGGTTATTTTCTGAAGCATTTGCTCCTGGTTTCTGGCCCACATCGGATGCTTTGGATATCGATCTCCAGTCATCTGTTGACCCTTTTGCATCTGGGTTCTGGTCCATGAGTGTGTATGCAGGGGAGATCTGAAATTGGGGGGGGGGATGATTGGAGATGATGGGGAGGATAAAGTTCTTCTTTTGGGGTGCCAAAATGGTACCCTAATCCCACCTGGTTGATCCCACGCCAGAGATAAAGGTGTTGCCATGGCAACCGCCCAGCCTGGGTACCAACTGCCTTGGAATCCCAGGAAAACTCTAGGCTGCTTTTGCAGATTTAAAAAGAGCAGGCCAAAGAATTTGTCTCCTTTTTAGACATGCAGGGAAGAAAATCATCATCATCATCATCATCATCATCATCATCGGAAAACAAGCTGGCTATTTGTACAAAATGGCTCCTCCAACCCTATCCTGCCCCTATTTCAAAGGGAACTCCCTTTCCAAAAGACC